GGGGAGGGGCTAAGGATATATAAGCCAAGAATGCCATGAGGCACCTCTCTCACCTTTTTCTGCCTCTGTGACAGGATCTATATTTGAGTGTGGGCTTTCCAGTGCAGCCATAAATGGGGGGGGCGCCCACTCCTCTGCAAATAAATCCCCACCCTATGCTCTGTTAAAAAAAAAAAAGAAAAGAAAATGATAGGTGTTTGAATAGATGGGAGGGATCTGACTAGACCAGAAGTGAATGGACTTGCACTGGGGAATGTCTGGAGACACTGACTTGACAAAGTGGGCCTTAACTCCAGAACAGAGTATATGGGTTCACAGCTGGGGGGGCTATGGGAAGGTGCTGGTGGAGACAGGGCTATAAAGATGACTCAGATTGTTTGAGATATTCTGTATGAAATACAACAAAATTTAGTAAAAACAAATTTAAAAAAGAGAAAAAAAAGTGTGACTATTGGTACTCCACTTAATGTAAACAGATGGGATCTAGCCAGTTTACTGACAGTCAATGTAGTTCTTAGTGGTAGACCAAGAGGTCTACACGCAGTGAAAAGTCAACCTCCTCTTTTGCAGTGTCTGCAGTGAAGCTCTAAGTTACTTCCTCACTCTAACCTCAGAGAGTCATCGGGAAGCCTGGACTAACTTACTTTTATTGTTTCTAACTAAAGTTCTAAAGATCAGTGATAACAGGGTAAGTATGAGGCTTTCTGTCCAGCTCCTTGACCTTGAGGCCAAGGTAAGGATGCCACTCAGAGCACTTGAGCTGCACTACACTGTCTGTGGGCCTCCCCGAACTGAACTTTACTATCTCACTTAGCTTTGTTTTCTAGTCAGCAGTTCAGTAGGGAACTCAGTAGAGGAAGAATTAGAATCCATCAGACACCTTGAAAAGCTCCTGGGTCCCTCCACATTGAAATCCCCATTATGACCTCTGGAATTGCTGAAATTCCCCTATTCCAGCCCACTCTGCATCCTTGCACAAAAACTGTATCTGACCCCTGGGCCTGTGCTCCTTTGGCCCATTTAGTAGCTGTGGGTAACTAAATCCTCTAGTGAACAAGTTATGAACTCACTTAAAAAATTTAGGTTAATGAGGCTGGAGAGATGGCTCAGTGGTGAAGAGCACTGACTGCTCTTGCAGAGGATCCGAGTTCAATTCTCAGCACCCACATGGTGGCTATGAACCGTCCTTAACTCCAGTTCCAGGGGAATCCGAAGCCCTCTTCTGACCTCCACGGCATTGCACTCACATATATGCAGGCAATGCACTCATACACATAAAATACAAATAATAAATATTTTTAAAAGTTTAGGTTAATGTAATTAAAGATAAAAAAATCTACATGTAAGTATGAATTTAGACATTTATATGTAAATATGGATTATTCATATTATATATACTTAATCATATATGTGAATGGATTTTATTGCAATTGTATATTAAAAATAAACATTTTACATTGTTTTTAAAAGCAACTTAGGTATAAGACAAGAGGTTGCTATGACTCCCTTAGATTTCAAACTTTAGGCTCTAGTAGCATATGAAAAATCCTGTGGGGGAAAGCAGTGCTATTCCTGTCGGGTGTCTGTCCGAAGTCACTCACTCAGTCACGTTCCCTGGGTCCAGATGTGTTTGCACCTGAATCCTCCTTACTCTCTTGCCAGTGTGATGCACTGCTTTCCTGTACTTGCTGAGGTGCAGAGGAGCATGAAGGAAAGAAATAGGAAGATAGGGAATTAAAGCCAAGATAAGTCAAGGTATATAAATTAGAACTATAAAAATGGAATGCATGTATCTTTGCCTGAAGATATGTATGTGATATTGCATTGTTCATTAGAATTTTCCCCTAAAACTTAAAAACTGTATTTAACAGTCAACAGATACAATTTCAGTAATCTACGCATTATAAAAATTCAGTTCTACCAGACATCTATGATCCCAGCACTGAGGACATAGAGGTAGGCAGATCTCTGTGTTCAAAGCCAGCCTGGTCTACATAGCGAGTTCAGGCAGCTGGGGCCCCAGGGAAACCCTGTCCCAAAAAGACCGAAAAACAAACTCAACTCTGCTTTCTTTTGTATGCTACACAAGGAAAAACATACTAGTTTATTGATTTTGTCAAAGACATATAAAATGATTTTTTTTTTTTTCGTCTTTTTGAGACAGGTTCTCCCTGTAGCCCGGGCTGGTCTGGAACTCACTTTGTAGGCCAGGGATGCTGAGATTAAAGGTGTATGCCACCACGCCCAGCTATAAAATGTTTTTCCAAACAGTGATGGAGAAGTAAATAATCTGGGTTTGTGCCGTCTCTCTTGGAATCTTGTCAGGCTTTCTATTGTATCACCACCTGAACAAAACCACCTGTCTCCTAGAATCAGTGCATATGCCAGCTGCTCTAGCTTGAAAGGCACTTTAGGTTTTGTGGCTTGGAATCCAGACACTACTAACAGAAGTTTATTTCCTCCCCTCCTCCCCAGTTTAAAGCTCATGCATCATTCTACTACCCTCTCTTATGTGAAATTATGCAATTTGACTTGATTCCTGAACTTCGTGCTGTTCTTAGAAGATTTTTTCTGCGAATTGGAATAGTTTTTCAGATATCACAACCACCTGAACAGGAACTTGGAATAAACAAGCAATGATGGGAACTTAATATTTTTCTGTTGGTGTTTACATCCCTCCGCTCTTTAAAAGGACCCTGGAGCAGAGGCTTCCTACCTGAAAAATTGTTTCTCTGAATTGCAGTGTCCAAGAGTTGCTGGTAAAGATGCTTACAGCTATAACTGAAACTCGGAACACTCCATCTGGTCCCTTTTTGTAATCTGGTGGATTCTGTGTTGTGTTGGGCGATGTTCAGCAGAAAGCATGTCTGAGTGTCAGCTTGTGCTCCTGGGTCCTCTGAGGCAGGGAGAGCCCCACATATTTTTGGCAGGTGTGGAAGTAAAATTTACCCAAAGAACTATAGATATAAAGATTGAACTTCTGTAAGAAGTACAACTCAGGAGAGCTGTATTTTGAAGGATAAAATGTTTATAATTGGGGGAGGGGAGAAAAAGAAATTATTGTTCATGGTAAAAGATATTTAGCAACTATGGTATTCTTATTCTGAAGACTTTTGCACACTCAGGCTGTCTGAGATACTGGTAATCATCTTTCTGTGAAAAATGTACAGAAATGCAGGTCTGTAATATAAAAATCTTAAACATTATATTGTTCTTCCTGCACTGTTTTACTTTAGTTCTTATTTTCTTATCTACTTGCTAAATACCCACAATATTTTGTCAAAATGCACTAAACATTTTGGTTGAATTTTTTTTGTCTTTATTTAGGGGGTATTTTTTGTTTACCCCTGATTGTGGGGTAGTACTTTTGAGAGCTTGACATGCTCTGAAGCTGTTGTGGCTGACAGTTGTCAGGATCACAACAGGAGGGAAAAACCCACCAAGGTAGAAAATATCCTTGCTGACAAGAGCTATCTGTAATATACTCTTAGGGCTTTTAAAGATGAGCCATTAAAATAAGAGTGATCTTTCACAGACTGAAACTTGAATCACTGCAAAATGAATCTAGGTTGCTGTCACTTTTCTTTTGGGTGGCGGGGCTTGATGTAGATTTTATTCTCTGTACAGAATTTAATGTTGACTATAGTAACATAACAAATCTGGCATGGTTTGGGGAGGTTAGATTTACTGGAAATGTATTCATACTGTGAATTGTGCTCTGATGGTTAAAAAAATGACAAGCTTGTCAAGCATTCCGTGTTAACAGTGGATGTAGAAAATTTTTTCAGGCGGATAAAATGTATATGGTACAGATGTAAAGTTTTCTATGTAAAATTCTGTACAACTTTCTGTACAATATTGATTCTCATCTGGCATATTCTAATCAGGTTATAGGTCAATAAAGTTTTTGAATTATTTCATCAGTGCAGTCAAAACTTACAGAACCCACAGCCCTATTTGTTTTTAATTGAAGGCTAAACCATGAAAAGAATAGTTTCAGCTAGAAAGACACAGTTTCTTTCCATTCTCTGACATTAAAGCCTTCCACCTGCTGCTTTCATAATCCTAGGACATTCATAAATTTTCTTGTGTTTATTAAAGATAAGGCTATTATTTGAGACTTCCCTTGGAGTAGTTTGAAATGTGGTATTCTGTGAATGAGGAGTCAACTTATGTGGTGGTACACATAACATTAAACAAAATGGAGGGTGACAGTTAATTTCAAAACAGGAAATATGTTGGTGTACGTCCATACCACCTTAGAAGACGAGCAGTTAATATGTGACATTTACTACCATAAGGCCCAGTCTGTTCAAAGCCCAGCTGAATGTTAAAACTAAAAGTCACCCACTTGTGTCGGGGAGCCCTGTGACTTCTAGTCTTGAGGGTAATTTCTGCTCATGGCTGGCAGTTAATGATTTAATGCTGTAATATCAGTACTCTCCAAAGAGGAGACAAAGGCTTTCTTTCTTTGAAATATTGATAGAACATTCACGGTAAAGGAAACTGAACATAAAAATGACACATAGCGGGGCTAGAGAGATGGCTCAGCACTTAAGATCACAGGCTGCTCTTCCAGGAGGAATCCAATTCCCTCTCCTGGCCTCTGTGGGCATTGCATGCTTGTGGTACACCTACATATATGCATACACATAAACATAATTTTAAAAAATATTACAGGTACCCAAAAACATTAAATACTAAGTATTTACTATTTTGGAAAATTCTTCTGCTGTTACGTCTTTTGACTGCATGGGAGTGTCAGGAGCAGTCCTCTGGTGCCTCAGCTGTCATCCTGGTGGGTACGCAACACCACAATCCAAGTAAAAATGATTCCAGAATTCAAGTGAATCTTTCCTTTTTCAGAAGTATCATTTGTTGACCAGAAAAACTCTAAACTTATGCAAGGGTCTCTCTCTCTTTCACCCCAATTCTGACCTCTTTTTCGGCCTCTAAAAACCTCTTCAGTAAAAACTTGAAAATAAATAAACTGACATTAGTAATAAAAATAAAGCTTTATTTCTATCAAGAAATAGTGAAATCAGATAAATTAGTAATGCTGAGTCTGTGCCTTTTATCAGCATAAAAATAATACGGAGACAGACAGGCATAACATGTAGTGCATGAATCACAGGAATAAGATCATCCTAGCTCCCTTCATTTCTACAGAACCAGTGGCTACAAATCACATGAAAATACAGATCTTGTTTGAGTCCCTCGTCACAAAGCAACTCGAATAGTCACAGCTCCAACAGGTGTATTCTCTAATGAACTGCTCTGAACACAAAGCTAATGTAATAGCAAATGTGCAAGTAACAGAAGAGACTCGGGTTTCACAGTACTGTTACAACGCGTAGTTCACGACCTCTTAATGGCAAGCAGAATTTAATGCACATACGGTAGTTGAATCCAAGAGTTCATTACCACTCTGACTTATGGCAAAACTGTGCAAAATAATTCTATATAATCCTGTTATATAAAGCAGTAATTGTAGCCTTTTATGTACATAATATTCATAACATACATCATCATAGAAAAAATATAGTTTATATAGGTGGAACATAAGTAATGTCAGGTCAGTAGTATGTAGGACATACTACTCAAGATAGAGATTGAACATTCCTTACACTTTAAAAGGCACTGTTGGGTCCAGTGTTGGTTTATTTTAACCATGTGCAGTTGACAGGCCCTGCCAAGTGAAAGTGCCTGGCTTTCCAGGACCCTGCTGTTTCTCCTCATTGAGCTGCTCTGCCATGAAGCGTTTCAGAGTTTCTGAGGTGCCAGGGCGGAGCCAGGGCTCCGTTGCTACAGAGCTGGATCCATCATCACCCAGGTGTTGTTTCATGATGTCATCAGGATCAACTAATGAACTCTCATCTATAGGAGGTAAGAGACACAAGTCAGATAACAGGTGGCAGGTGACAAACACAGGTTGCCTATAGCCCCACCCATTACAGATTTATGTTTCTCCACAGTTCCATGTTCTGAATTTTTTCAGACTGCTTCCCCAACCACCTCTTTAGTACTAGAACAGGCCTAGAAAGGTACCAAGTTGAGGATGGGAGAGCAATAAAGAGACTCCACAGCACATCAACCCTACAAGGACTAATCAAAGGAGACCCTAGCAAACATTGAAAGCTGACTGTAGAAATATAGGCAATCTTATTCTCTATCTGTACCTTTAGGAAAAACAATGGACATGACACAAAACTTTTAAGTTTTTGGAATACTTATCCAAATTAGAACACTGATATAGGCACATTAAAAGGCATTCTGAGGAAATTACTTCCATTCTATACCTAATCTAAGAAGACCACATCTAGCCCATTAAGGTAACTTTTCTCATTCCTTAATCACAATTGATTTTACTCTAATTCTATATTTATATTTGAATTATTAAATATAATAGGAAAAAAATCTGTCTTCCTACCCTGTGATGTCAATTTCTTTTTCTAAAAAAAAAATTACATCTCCTGTGCAGGATTAGCTCAGCAAAGGGATATGTGCCATCAGTTTAATGAGCAATCAATCCACACCGTACCAAAAAGCTCCTGTTTGAAAGGATAGTGTTAAAACAAAAATAGTTTAGACATTGAAAACCTGAAAGAATCTTAAGTTGTACTATCTTCTCTCAACTATATCCCTGTCAGGTATTAAAGTCTATGGATTGTAAAACAAAGAAAAGGCAATTCTTGGGATACATTAAGAGAAAATGCCTTGAAGGCATCCTTTTACACTAGTCCACATTTTTCCAGGTGTGAAATGGAAAGCACTATTCCCTCGGTTTACCGTGTCTGCTTATTGGTGTACAATTATCAGAACACATCACCCCTGAACTATGTATATATATGTGTGTGTGTATGTATATATATATATGTATATATATGTGTATGTATATATATATGTGTATATATAATGAAAACAATTTAAAAGTAGCATCTAAAGATAACTTTTAAAAAACTGCCACTAGAAAAACAATAGTTTAACAGACCAATGAGTGTTGTCTAAATAGGCCACTGTACTATTTGCTAAAACTAATAATACTAATAGAAAAGTGTCCCATTATCCCAGTGCCTAACAGCCTAATGTAAAAAGGATGTGACATGGGCTGACAGAAGAGATCTGTAGCTATCTTATGAAACTGTCTGGTCTCATATACTCCATGACAAATTTCAAGCTACAAGTCACCAAGGTCCACTCATGAGAAGACTTATGACTTATGACTTAAAAGATTCACCTGAAACAATTTTCCTTCATGGTGTAGAGAGCCAAGCAATGGTAAATTTTTAATTGTAATACTACAGAGATTTACAATAGATGTATTACTTTAAAACTCAAAATTAATTTCTGAACATTCCTCAACTTCAGAGAGTAACTACTGTATCATACTACTCAGCACCTTCCCTGCTGAAAAAGCCTGGACAGATTTTGTACACAGATCTTATTTTAACTCTTCAGAATCCACTCATAACTGAGTGCCCTCCAATACAAAGAATCTGTTGCAAAATTAATCCTGGCATCTGTTTTTTCCAAATAGTTACTGTGCCCTAGGCCATAAAAACTCAACGGACTTCAGTACCTCCAGATTTGCCATAGGCCAGTAAGCTTCACTGTGTACCTGGATTAATAGCTTTACTTTGAAGTTCATTCAGTCTTCTCATTCTGTCTTCATTTCTCATTCTAAGCTGATCAACATTTATACTGGAGACAGGTTTTGAGAGACCATCTGGTGGTATATGAAGCCTGTTATTATCCTGTAGTTGAAAAAGAGAACTTTAGAAACACACATTAACAAAGAATTGGTAAATTAAGACATGTTCTTACCCTTGGATAAATACAACAAAAATAAAATACTGACTGAATAGGCATATCGTGGCTCCTTCCTGTGTTTACAGGGTCAGATGTCTTTTAGTCATGGATAAGATGCAGCATTATGATGAATAAGGTTTGGAATTATAGGGCATACAAGGAAAACAGTAGGGGCTAAGGCTCAGTCCACCCACAGGAATTAAGATACTGTACTAGCAGAAGAAGAGATGCACAGAACAGTGGGAGAGAAGTAAGAATCCAGAAATGAATCCTTGTATTTTTGGATGAATACTCAACAAAGTGAAATAGGGAGAAAAAAATAGCCTTTTCAATGAACTGTACTAGAAGAATTGGATACCCACATGCAAAAGAAGGAACCCTGACCCTATACCTCATATCACACGCAAAACTAACTTGGGCTACCACAGACACAAGTTGACAACCAAAAGTTATAAAGGAAAACAAAAGTTAAGCAATTTCTTAGGTAAAATCCAAATGACAAAAAGATTGTGAGAGGACTTCATTAAAATTTAGTTTCTATGCCTCAAAGTAGACCATTATGAAGATCATGATGACAGCTTTTTTAAATAAAAAATATTTGCAAACCAGACAGTTCACAATCATTTACCAGTGAAAACAACACAATTTAAAAATGGATAAAGGATCTGAATTAACATTGCTCCAAAGAAGATCCACCACTGGCTAGAAAGTACCCAAGGTGTTTGTTGACACAATACACAATACATGGCTGTAAACTCAAGGATGGACAGTAAGGAGTGCTGGCCACGATGTGGAGGAGCGCCAGCTTCCTAAGTGGTTGAAAAGGTGTAAAGTGACGCAGCTGTTTTAGAAAAGGTTGGCTGTTTTTTTTAAGACGCAGAGGAAATTCACAGTGACCATATAATCCAGTAATTCTACAAGGTATACAACTCAAGAAATGAGAAAAGATACAGAAACTACATGAACGCTAATAGCAATGCTAGTCATGAAAGCAAAAATGTGACAATAACTCAAAATACTTATCATGTGTTGAACAGATAAACTACTATTTACATACAAAAGAGGAATCAGGTACTGACACGTGCTACAAGACAGATGACCCTGAAAAAGGATAAGAAGGTAATCATTTATATGATGAAATGTGCAGAAAAGGCAAACCTAGACCAAAGTAGATCAGTTAGCTAAGGCAAAAAAAAAGTTTGTGCCCCCTGATAAAGCTGTACATGTAATATCACCAATTAACAGCAGCCGTTACTTGTTAGGAGCTACCTACATGCTTGAATGCGTCATGTGGATGGAAATGCAGTCTAAGAAACTGTCCAAAGGTGCCTACCCAAAGAGGAAAGTATACTGTTGGAGCATGTATTTGTTGATACTTCAAAGCCTGTACTGTTTATTGGTTATACCATAAAGGCACAGGAAAGAAGAGAACTTGGGTTTGAATATTTGATCTATGTGACCTTGGGTAAGTCACCTGACAAAAATGGAGTTGGTGGGGCTTAGTGGTTAAGAGCACTGACTGCTCTTGCAGAGGATCTGGGTTCAGTTCCCAGCACCCATAAGGTGGCACACAACCATTTTTAACTCCAATTCCAGGGGATCCAATGCCCTCCTCTGACCTCTGAAGGCACTGAACAACACTGGTGCACTTACATACATGCAATACACTCATACACATAAAAAAAAAATTTTTAATGGAGATGGCACCATATGTTATCAGGAGACTACCACAGGCTTTCTGGCAACAGCTACCAGTTGCTTTTCATGCCTTCTCTGAAACCCATATAGGGAGAAGGATGACAACTGAGGCAGTAAGCATTTCCAAGACAGGATATCCATGCCAGCAGATTCATTGAGCTAAAAGGTCACCAATTAAATAATGGTAGAACCTAGAGATTCAGACCATGTCCACTTGGGTTTCAAACCGAGTGCCCTTTTTTTATTTGACCCCATAAATTTCAGGTCAGAGCCTAATCTTCTTCTAGACTGAGAAGGTAGGTGGGGGTAGGGAAAGAAGACGCTTCATACATACAAAATCTAGTCCTTTCAGTTTGTTCCGCCTGCGCTCCCTCGCAGAAGGCAGCTGCAGTGGTGGAGGGAAGGCTTCATCTTCAATAGCAGGATACGTCTCACCATAAGCACCTAAACAGTCCACACAAAGAAGTCTTAAAACATGGACTATTTCAAGTCTTTTACTCAGACCTAAGCAAAGAGCCTGTTTTTTTTTGTTTGTTTGTTTTGTTTCAGGTTTTGTGTGTGTGTGCTTTATGATGTTATGTGTATACATAAAATATCCCACTGTACATATAAACAGTTTATACATATATATATACACACATATTACACAGCTTATATGTGCATATACATGGATTTCTTTTTTTAAAAAATATTTTTATGTGTATGAGTGTATTGCCTGCATGTATGTGAGTGCACCCATGTTGTGCAATGCTGTGGAGGTCAGAAGAGGGTTTCAGATTCCCGTGGAACTGGAGTTAAGGACAGTTTGCAGCCGTCATATGGGTGCTGGGAATTGAACCCGGGTCCTCTGCAAGAACAGTCAGTGCTCTTAACCGCTGAGCCATCTCTCCAGCACCTACATGGAATTTAAAGTTGTATAATCAGTAGCTAGACTTTCCATCACCTCAAAGAGCTCCCTTATACTCACTGGCAACCACTTTCCAAGCCTAGTCCAGCATCTTCCCCTGGCTCAACAGATTGACCTTATGTAACATTCCACATAAATGGAATTCTACAACATTATTTTTTATGTCTCATTTAGCATGTATCTGAGGTTCATCTGTATGCACCATTTTATTGCTGAGTCATTCTTCATCTTACAGATAAATCACATTTTGCCTGTGTATTTGCCTGTTTCATAAACAGTTACTGGCACTTAGGAATAATACAGCTAATGAACATCCATGGAGAACTCTGTCTGGACATATTTTCTTTAGGGCATAAACTGAGGAATTGTACTTGCAGATATTATGGTCACTGCTCAGCATTCTGTAGAACTACCAAACTACTTTCAAAAATGGTTAGAGCAGCCTAGCATGGTAGTACACAGCTGTAATGTCCATACTCAATGAAATCCTATCTTAAAAGACACAAAATAACCATATATACTGTTAATAGTATAGCATTAGTAAATTAAAATGAATGTACTCACCAATAAAAGCACTATCAGATTCCAATAATGAATTTTTCAAAAAATCATTAGTGTCGTTTCTGGGCTAAAACACAAAAACAACAATCACATGTTAACGGCTATTTTTTTTTTTTTTAAAGTCTGGGGTAGAAAAAGAATCCATACTAACCATAAGTTTCCACTTCTCCCCTCCTAACACTAGATTGCAGTATGCACAAAATGAAAGCCTTAGCACAGAAGGCAACAATATGGCATGATCACTCCTGGCAAAACATTGACTTCCCAACTCCACTCCTTACTGCCCCTCTTGTGGGTAAGACAAAAAGATCACATTCTTTTTTATGAAAATGCGAGTATGAAGCAATGAATTCAAACACCAAGCATTCAAAGTCTTCACTTCCTGTGTTTTCGTCTGTGTAAGGAACTGGGGATATAATGGTGAATTGAGAAGTGTTCTGTAATGAGCTCCCAAAGGAGAGGTCATTTCAAGTCACACAGATTTTCATACTAAAGAGTAATAAGCATTCTGTTCAAAGGAACCTGAATCTACCCAGCACCACCTTCCTGCAACTCGCGATTTGATCTCTGCACTTCGCTCACACACTCATACTAAAATTCTTAAGGTAGTGAATTCTCTTGCAGTGTTATCAGTTTCCATACACTCAGTTCTTCACATACTGAATTTGCATCTCCTCTTTGACTATCTACTGATTCTACTTTATTTTCTAGCAAAATACTAACTGTAGCATCTGAATCAAACGACCTGAACCAGCTGTCCTTGGCCTGTCACACTGCTCAATCTCTCCTTACAGTCCTTCATTCTAATTGGAAAGCGACCAAAGCCCACCTAAGCTTTACCTACTCAATGACAGTCACCTCCACTCCCTGCTTTTCTAAGTGATTTAGTTTCTAGGAAAGTCAGGAGCCTAAGATTTGTTCTTTTTTTTCAAATGCCCATGATATACTTTTTTGCCTTATCTGAGCTTCTAGGCCAGAACTGCTGTTAGTAATCCAGAGTTTTAACTAAAATTCCTGATATTAAATTTCACTCTTTTTCACTATGAAATGTGGCCACTGTGCATGGAAATATCTACCAAACTGCAACCTTCCCAAAGAGGCCCAGGTTCCTCAGTCTATCTGCTACAGGAACAATAGTTCTAGAGCGAGCCTGGGTTCAAAGGCAGGCTCTATTGGCTGTGTGATTATGGGCAAAATAATAAGCCATTACGTATGTTTTCTCATATAATTTAAGGATATGAATAGCTTGTTAAATTTAGCATCAGATGGGAGTTCTTAGCAACATTATTATCACCATCAGTTCAAAACGGAGCCCTAACACTGAGGAACGAGTCAATGCTGAGCTACTTTGGCATCTGGAAATGGAAATGCTAACAATATGATAAGGGTGAAACAGATTCAACTCATATCTTCAGCATCTATCTTTTCCCCTTGTGGTGGTTTGAATGAGAAATGTCCCCCATAGGCTCACATATTTGAACACTGGGTCCACAGATGGGGGTGATGTTTGGGGAGCTTATGGAACCTTGAGGAGCCTTGCTGAAGGAAGTATGTCACTGGGGGCTGGCTTTGAGATTATAGCCTCGCCCACTTCCAGTTCACTCTCCAAGTTTGAGAGGGAAGCTGTCGATTCTTAGCTTCCTGCTCCTGCTGCTACACCTCTGCCAGTATGGAGTCCCCCTCTGGAACATAACCCAAAGGAAACTTTCTTCTTTAAGTTGCTTCTGGTAAAATGGTATTTTATCACAGGAACAGGAAAATAGCTAATACACCCCTGGACGCATATCTGCACTCACTAGTTCCAACTGTCTAATATGCATTTCAAAATTACCACATCAAAACAACAACCAGTCTTCTTCCCACCCCTTACTTTGTCTTTCTTGCTTCTGTATGAATAGCAACTCTTGCCCAATCCAAGAAGTCCATCTTTGAATTCTCCTGTATTCAGTATGTTCAAAATCCTCTTACGCCTATTAAAGTAAATCCGACTATTTCAGGCCACTTTTACTGCTCCGCCCAGTCTACACCATCTCTTGCCTAGATGGTTGCAATAATTCCCCTGTTCAGTCTATTCTCAACACATAGCAGTGATCAAAAATAAGCAGCATATTGTGTCACTGGGAATGTCTTGTCACTTGCACGGTATGAAGGCAAAACCCTCAGAGGTCACCTCTCTATCCTTTCCATTCCCACTCAACCTTGCTCAAGCCTCTTCTGCCTCAAATGTTCTTCCTCCAGGTCTTCTCCAGTTTTCCAGGGCCATGTCCTCCATGGCTGTTGTGTTATTAACTATAAATACTCTCACCGCAATCCTTCCCAAACCCTTTCCCTGTTATCAACTTCCCACCAGCACCACAATGTAACATGCTATAGATGTATTTACTATGTCTCCATCCTTCCAATGTAAGCCTCCAGGAGCAGGGGTTTCTGACTCTTAATGACTCCTGCACCTTGCACACATCAAACAGTTTCTGGGCCACAGTCAACCAAAAGCATTCAAAAAATATTTGTTGAATGTAGTCTTCCACAAATGTCATCAAAGGACCAAGTGAGTTATCACTCTTGCTTAATTCTTCAAAACCCTGCATTAAACTCCTGCTTCCACTACTGTGAATATTAATGACACCAACAACTCTGCAGTCACTATGGGTCAGGCTCTTCTCTAAGGAAACTGAAATATACGCATTGTCTCACTTAACCCCAGAGTAACTCTTGCACGATACTTTTTTTTTTAATTTTTAATAACTACATGATTAGAAGGAGCATTTCACTACAACTTTAACATATTCAATAACACACTCCAGAGCAAGAATACATCTCTTTCAAGGTGGCTGTTAGTTTCTAGGTTCACAGTTGACTTAATACGGTTATACAATATTGAACTCAGTATAAGCCCTGTAAGACAGAAAATGGAATGAGTTTTTAACCTTTCAAAAAGACCTCCATTTCATTTTAGAATATATTGTTCCTTGCAGAAAGACTCATTGTTTTTGCTACTAACACTGAGATGTTGGTGCATGCATCTCTAATCTGAACGTATCTGATTATTACTAGTCATAATTGGTTGCACTTGGATCCTAGGCACATGTGCATGTCTATAAACTCATCAGGTGGATTTCAATGGTATCGTTTATCACCTCTACTAATTAACATGACACAAATTTCCATGCTTCCTCCTCAAATATAATACATTTTTTTAATTTGTTGATTTTGTGTGTGTGTGTGTCTATCGCACAGAACATCCCAAACCATCTTATTCAACTATGCACCCACTTCCCAGATGGCACCCTCCCATAGCCTCCCTCCCCCCACTAGAGCCCTTATACTCTGACATCCCTGCTACTGTCTGCTGTGTTGTTGGCACTCCAGCCATTCCCCATTACTACTTGCCCTTCTGGTGAATCTAATCAGACTATCTAGAGGTCTTTGTTTTAGGAGGGTCAGCTGTTCCTCACCTGACAGCAATCAGTTGTCAATATTCCTTTAGATAACACTGGGGTCTGCTGTTCACTCTCTAGTTCTATGCTGGGTTACTACCTGGGAGTCCCTTTGGCCACCCTGGCCAACAACTCAAAGGAAGGTATCTGCTATCTGGCACTGTTGCTTGTTATGTACCTTTAGCTATACATATGGACTCTTCAAAAATTATATTGGCCCCTTTAATCTTTGATTATACTTTCGTTTTGGGTGTTTAAGGCCATAGAGTTGGCCTAGATAAACCAATTTATTTTTACTCTTAAGGTTTTGAGGCTCTGTTCCTCAGGAGTCACATGGGCTTGGGAGGAGCCCCTGGCTCCTATCTTTTACCAGTTCCGTCTATGTCTGTCAAAGGTCCTACTCGACCATGGCTGGCTTCACTTGGAAGCATGGAGGAAATGATTCCTCTGTGTTGACCCTCCTCTTTGTAGACTGGACACGGGTTCAAGTCCATCTCTGGGGGTCTCCTCGGCCTCCATGATCAAGAGGACAGGTGACCCACCACAATTACAGGACACTTTGAGAGATGCTCATAGTCCCCTGGAACTAGTCAATCTAGGAGGCCAAGGAGCAAAAACTGTCCTTTATGTCCCTCTGACCAAATTATTATAGGCCTCAAAGTATGTCTGTTAAACATCCAAGAAGGTTATTTCCACCAGTCTGGTACTTTTAATTACTGTGTGTCATGCAGATAAATCTTGGGCAAAGACCAATTATTCTCAGATCAACCTTACCCAGACATACATTTCTTGATCTATGTATAATTTGTCAGTAGGTTGTTGGAATAATAGGGTTCCCTCTAGTTTTTAAAACTAGCTAGGCATTGTTTATCTCTCACATTGTCTCACCCCTCCATCATGGTTTTCCCAAGTAAGGTGCCCCCATTTTCCCCCTTTCTCTCTTAATAATACCCTTCTCCTATGGTCCTACCTCTCTTGAGCTCCTTCTTTCCCTTTATCCCCTAGGTTCCTTGTATACCCTTCCCTCCCCCCCCCTCCCTTAAACTAACCCAATTTTTATCCATATCTCCCTTATTAAAGCCTATTTCCTACTGTTCTCTTTCAGGTTCTTTCTTTTCATTTACCTCCCTGGTTCCTTTCCATTATCCTGGTTCCTGTAGTTATGCCTGGATACATACTCACTTATCAGGGGTTTGGTTCTAGGATCCACATAAGAGGGGGAAACATATGTCGATTTTTTTTCTCAGTCCGTTACTTCACTTA